GGGTCTTCACAGGAGGCTTGGTTATCCAGTCAGTCTCAATTTCGCGTTGACGAATGCACCGCCTCCTTGTGCCTGGTTTGGTGACGGTGGGGACGCTCCACCACACGCTCGCGTCCATCGAATGGGTGTCGGGCGGGACGGCCGCAGAGCTTCTCGCCGACCGCGTCGCGCTGGCCGAGTCGTCGTACGACGTCGTGCCAGACGTCGAGCCTCCTCCGACCCGCCCTGACAACTACAGGAGGTGCATCTGGAACCGGTTCAACTATAAGGTCGACAAGGCAACCAACGAAGGCGAAGAAAACAGGGAGCAATGCTTCGACAACGTGTTCGAGTACGGCAAGGTGCTGGCGTACCCGTTCCCGCGAAGCAGCTACCACTACGACACAGACCCCAAGCACGTCATGGACTCGGACGCCAAGCCCCACATCACTGTGGATGCCGCGTACGACTTGACGGGGAATGGCTTTACCAACTTCGACCCGAAGATCTACGATTTTGAAACCTTCGAGCGGGACGGCGCGTCGATCTTGTACAAGTCGATCAAACACTCGGTGGGCCTGTATTGGATGACCCTCGTTGCGTACGACTTCAACGGGGTCGAGTCGTCCGAGTGCTCGGCATGCTTGTCCGTAACAGATATGTACCGACCCCGCGGTGGCCCGGGCGGCAAGACGTGCACGAACACCAACGTCGTGGGATACGCGGACACAACCCTCAAGAACCTCCTGCCGCCAGTGCAGCAGCTCATCGCATATCGTCAAAAGGCGACCAACAACAAGTGCAGCAACGTTCGGTGCGACGACGTCGGACTGACGCGCACCGACTTTTTCAGCCTCGAGTCGGCGCGCGAGAGCTTCTCGGGCACAGAGGTCGAGGATCCCCTCGACGGGTGGACGACGTGCATGGGCGCGCCGCTCACCAACAACGAATGGGCCAAGCTAACCACGTCCGTCTTCACCGCGTCGTCGGACATCCCCGACGTGCATACATGCGCACGGTCGTGCAAGTACGACCTCGCGCTCAAGGAAATCTACACGGCGTTTAACTGCGACGTCGACTACACTATATTCCCTCCCAAACCAATATGCGACGGCGAGTCGACCGAAGCGTGTGCGTTTGTCCAGCAAGTGACGGCCCGGTCCACCGACTTGGTCTCGTCGTTCAGCGTCAAGCTCAAGGCGGCGCCGGCCAAGGTCCCGATCCAAGACCCCGCGGCTGTGTTCCCGGGCTCCAACTACCCGCCGCCGACCGACACGGTCAAGAAGGAACTGCACTTTGACGTGTCGTGCGATAGCACCGCCCCCGACTTTGCCACGTTTTGCACGAGCCAGCTCCAAGTCAAAGTGAGCGACCTGTTCGAGCTCGACGCGACGCTGAACCCAAACCCGGCCGTGGCCGCGCTTCTAAATGGCCGCACGACGTCCGCGGCCCCGATCGTGTTCTGGCGCGTCAAGAACACGGCCGCCGGGGCGTGGCATGTGATCGAAAACGGCGACCTCAAGGACCCGTCGGTCGTCCTGACGTTCCCCCGTTTCAAGACAGAGCTCATCTTCGAAGCGTTCACGGCTTGCGGCAAGCTCGGCGACATCACGTGGAATGTCTACGTCCATCGCCACGAGGTCGTCCGCATCGATGACTGGTGGTACTCCATGTGGGACTGCGGTGCGGGCAAGTGTAATGTCGAACACACCGACTTTCGCGTGTGCAAGTTCAAGTTCGACCCCAAGTGCGACACGTATTTGAGCATGCTCAACCCATCGGATGCCAAGCCAACGATTCCGATCGACCCCGTGACGAAGGGTTCGTACAAGGTGTGCGAGTACAAGGACGCAAAGAACGAGAAGCAGATGTGCTCGAACGGGTGCTGGTGGCACTACGCGAGCTGCGACACCAGCTCCAGCGAAGAGTCGTGCGCAGATCGCATTCGCCAGGAAGGCAACCGGTTCGTGTACTGCGGCGAGGGCGGCGAGCACGAGCCACCACTTGGTGAGGTCGACTCGCACAATCTCGCGGCTCAAGTTCTGCTCGAGGCATTCGACGACGAGGACAAGGTCACCAACACAAAATACGTCAAGCCGTTCGCCAAGCAGTGCAAGTGCACGACTCCGGCATGCAAAGGACGGGTTTGCAAGGGGTGCAGCACATCGCATGTGTCGCCGACGGCGCCAACCGAGTACGAGTGCCAGGCCGATGACGGGACCAAAGACACCTGCCTCGCCAACATTGCCAACAACAAGCCGGAGAAGGACCAGTTTTACTGGTGCGGCGACGGGACGAACCCGGACGTTGTGCCGGCTCCTGTGCCGGCCCCAGAAGTCCGCATCAAGTGGCAATTCCTCGGCCTCCAATGCACGTGGAAGTACCGCAACTCCAAGTCTGCGGCGCAGTTCTTGAACACGATCAACCGCGGCGCCGACCAAATCGCTTTTGAAAAGGAAGTCGCGATCAAGATGCAAAACATCGATGTGACCGAAGTCACGGTCACGTGCGAGTTCAACTTCAAGTCGAACGCGGCCAAGTCGGACGCGCTGCCGCTCAAGAAGACCCGATCGAAGACGATTCTGATCCAGAACTGCGACCACCCGCGGTGGAACGCCGAGCACCCGATCGACCAAGGCCGGTTCATTAAAGACGTGTGCAACGTTGTGTCGTGGTACAGCGACGTCAAGAAGCGCCAGCCCGCGCCGTTCCAGGCGTGCCGTGGCGCGCTCGTCTACCCCGACGGCCCGTCGACAGAAGCGAACGCAGCCAAGACGATTTACGTCGAGACAACGTCCGACCTCCAGTGCTGCAACATCAAAGGCTCTGACCGGGGGGACTCGCGGGGGGACTCGCGCAAGTCCCCTGACGGGACCTTTACGTGCCAGAAGCTGCCGGGCGACTTCTCGACCGGTCTCTGCACCGACTCCAAATCGTCCAAGTATTACTACACCGCGTCGTTCGTTGGCGCGGCATCCATGGTCGACAGCGCCCAAGCGTACGTCCGCGAGTTGCTTGTGGCCGGCGGGTTCCTCGCGGCCGTCGCCGTCGTGGCAGCTGTCTCGTCCAAGCAGCGCGCGTCGACCGCCGCCGTCGAAATGGACGACGCGTACATGCAACTCTTGGCCTAGTCGACACACCCGGCATTGCGTATTGCATTTTTTACTCGATCTAATTGCATGTTAACACGAAGGATAA